CAGCAACACACATATATTCACCACACTGCACAGCACACGATGTAAGAATGAACAAAAAAAAAAAAAATCTTAGGGGGGAAACGTGTCATCATTGCCAAAGCAGCTTTTGAGCGCGCTCAGAGGTCTGATTGGCTGTTCCACTTGTAATACAGACATTACTATTAAAGGAATAGTTCACCCCAAAATGAACGTTTGGTTATCTGCTCACTTGCATGTCAGTTTGGACTTAAATCTGTGCAAGTAAAAAAAAAAAAAGACAAAGTTGTCATCGTACATTTCGAGTTTAAAGTTATTTTTGGGGCATTTTTACCGTTAATGGATAGGACAGGTGAAGAGAGACAGGATGTGTTGGAAGGAGAAGGAGGGGGGTGACGTGCAGAAAAGGGCCGAGGTCGGAGTCAAACCCACAGCAACTGTACATGGGGCGCACAACATAACCGCCAACATGTGTCCGATATATACTGAATGGTTTTTGAATATGAAATCAATGGTCATATCTCGATATATCTTCATTTGCTAAAGCACTCTGCTTGTAACAGAAGAGGGCGTCAGCTTCACTACGACACAGATCAAGCTAACATGAATCTTTTTCTATGAACGACGTTATGTAATGTGACAAACTGAACTATCACTCTACTCTTAAGTTTCCACTTTTAGCTTCTTTAAGCTTTTTGTTTTGGTTGTATAGCCCACAGCTGATAACATATCTGGCAGCTTTTAAACAAACGTTATGATACTCACTCTGCACCGAACAGCCGACAGGGTAGAAACTAACTCGTGAACATGTTGGAGGCATTTAGCGACTTAAGAGCCACTAACCTCAGGATTTAGTAGAGAGCTGAAATGAGAGTAGATGTTTGACTTTCATCCGTCAGTTGGGCTCAAACATGACTCCAAACGAAGCGTTATGTTGGTTTGTGCCCGGAGGGTGTGTAAAGAGGAAACTGCCAGCTGTCATGTCCTCCTTAACGAGTCTTTAAGGCGGTAATATGTCAGTTTTCTGTTTACAGTTTGTTGCGCTGCCCTAAGTGATTGAAAAGGTCAAATACATGGAGGTTTAAAGAGCTACAGGGTTGATGTTATGCAGATGTTTGAAGTTTTCCAAAGAAAACCTAACGTCATTTTTGTGAGACAGTGGTTTGAAATGTGGTCAAAGGTCACGCACACGTTTTAAAAAAAAAAAAAAAAAACTTTGATGCACGGGTGAGCAATAGATGTCTTCAGGTCTCTATTTTGGGACGAACTATTCCTTTAAGATAAGTGGCGCTCTTATCCACGATATCCTTCTGCAGAAAGCTTTGTGACTCGCAGTCCAGATCAACCAACAATCAGAATGTAATATTCAACTGGGATGAACACGCTCTCGTTAGGGGCCGTCATCAGAACAGACCTCACTGTCACTTCTGCCTTTTTGTGCTTTTGACCAGAATGTGTTTCGACTGTTTGGACTCGTAACTCAAATGTGTTCCCTCCACACCGACTTCCAGACCATCAGACTACTTTTAGGATCACATGAAGGAATTCTCTTTTATTGGCTGAGACCGTTTCTCTCTTCTTCTTCTTCTTCTCTTGGTGGTGGCAGACAAGGGCCATAGTGCAGATGTTGTAAATATGCAAACACCCTTCACTGATTTAAAAATCTAATCATCATTGACCGATCATAATCACAACCCTTTTTTTGATGCCCCAATTTTTCAAACAACCAGACAGCAACTTAGAATTTACCTGAAACCTGTAGACTGTTACGAAGTGTTAAAAAAAACAGAGATTGAACTCCTGATCAGGGTCAATTGTCACCCCCAGGTTTTATCTGTGAAAGGGGAAAAACTAGGTTCCTGTAGTTTCATCACCTGGCCAGTGATCATACAACCAGTTTGTTCTTTTGAGGATCTATAAAAAGTCCCAGAAGTCTCATCTTTAATACTCTTCTCTTGCTGTTCTGAATGTTAACACTGCTCACTGCCTTACAGGTGCAGCACCAGTATAGCTCACCGGTTATATTTTGCGAGACAGCAGCAGCCTCAGTCCTTCATTTCTTCACCCTGGTTCATTACATCCCAGTGCGCATTTTCTGTTTATAAGAGAGAGAGAGTGGGGAACGACACACGAGATTCAAACCCAGTTCCCCTTTGCTTTGCTTGGAGAGCTTCAGCCTGCGTACATTGGGTGTGCACACTCACCACTAGGCCACTGGTGACCCCATTGAAAAGATGTTTAACAAACGAGTATGGCCACCATCGGAAAGTCGTTCCAAAGTGAACGTTTTTTTAACGACTATTTTGAAGACGTTGGTTAAACGTGCAGGGCATCACAGTCACCAACCAAATAAAGACGTGATGGTCGGAGTCAGAACACCACCACTTACCACCGTCAGCCACTGATATCCCTTCTGAACTATTAGACATTAGCTCTCAGCCTCTACCTGCACGTCTTCTCTTTTCCTTTTTTATGTGAGCATGTTTAGCACGTCCCTTCATGTCGTCTCTGAACTGTTTTGTTACCTTCACACAGCCCGGGGAGAGAGGGTTAGGCCTTTTTATGTTTATCTCCGCGTAAAGGGAACCAAGCAGTGCAAAAGGTTTTGGTGAAATACCGCTAAAATCATCTTCTATATCACAAATTCAATGCTTAAATGAACAGATTATCAACATTTTAAGACAAAGCAGGGTCTGCTCATCGATTTAAACCAGTTGTCAAATGTCAACTTTACAACCGCGGTTTAGTGCTCACTGGGATGTAGCCAGACGACGATCTCAACAAGCTCACAGACACGTGGTGAAAATCTCATTGGATAACTCCTGATGATGTTTTAGTATCCTGATTCTCATCTACCTTTCTGATCATTCATCAGTGCATCAGCTGAAGGTTCATGTTAGCTTTCCAAAAAAGGTGAATCTGAAGGCGCATCATGAGACACTTAAACCAACAAAGAGAGGTTTGACAGCCATAAAGAAACCTGTCTGTAACCTGGCCCTCAGGTTGTTGAGGAAACATGAAGATGGTTAAAGTAGTGGACAGTGGCATGGTCTTTTAAATGAGGAAATAAGTGATTGGGTGTCTCAAATTTCATGTACACATCACGTCCAGGCAGCCAAAGCCGACATAACATTGAGGAATCATCATGGCTGACTATTTTGTTCTTTGTTCAGTGAGCTTGATGAGACAGAGTTCAGAGGTCTGACCACTACCCCCCCCCCCTTCTGACCCCACACACTGCCCTTGTAGGCCTTTATCCTTCATTTTTCTAAATAGACAGAAATACACAGCAGTCCAGTGAAAACACCTTTAAATAAAGCTGAATATCCTTAATAACCACTGCAGTATCAATACTATCATCATCCATATCCTGCTGTATTATAAGCTTGCTTCTCTCTTGTGTTTCTTCTTCTCCCCGTTTGTCCTCTACCCACCCGTTCAACTTTGACTCACTAAGATGCTACACACGAGCATAAAGGACACTTGTATGTATTAGAATTTTCTTTGTTTTGTTTTGTGCAGTCTTAAGTCTTTACGTGTTTGGGGGGCAAGTTTAGACATTGTTCCAGACATATGTAGCAACTTTTGTGGCCGTCAGACTCGCCACATTTAATTTCTTTCTATATTCTCAAAAGGTACGAGTTTGATTTAGTTTTGTCTGTGCATCATGATTATAACTGTTTGGCTGTGGTTTGTTGTTTTATTTAATTGCATTGTGATTCCTTGTGACTAGGCCATTAGTACACCACACTGAGGAGGCCTCCTCAACCATACACACTACCTCTCCGTCAGCCTACACGGACTCAAACACTGAAATGCATGATCACGAGCACTCAACGTGCAAGACTACAGCAGCACACATTGACGGATGGCAGGCAAAAAAAAAAAAAAAAACCTGGATTAAATTTCTCCACATCTCACTAAATCCAATGTGTCATAATTTGTGGCGGTGGTGCTTTAAGTTCGCCAAAAGTAGCCTAGGTTTTAGGCGAGTACGTTCTGTTGGGTTGCAGCTGAATTGTTTCTGCGTTACAAAATGTTTTTTACTCCATGCTTTAGAACCAGCAGCAATATAGTACTGTATTTCAAAATATGTTCAACTAACCCATCCTTGAGACGCCCGACACACTAATGGTCTGGTGCCAAAGCTCAGCGCTGCTTGCCATGAATTTCCCACATTGATTTCATGAACCAAACCGGGTGCTTGTGTATTATTCTCTCAATCATTACTATGGCCTGCAATTACCATGGAAGGAGTGTTGTTCAGATGGCCTCTTTAAGTGCAAGTATGTTATTGTTGTTATTGATAATCACTTGATCTGGGTTTATTTTGTAACATGGTGTGGAAATAGGTCAAAACTGGATTTTTTTTATATATACGTATATGAATATAACGCTGTAAAGTGCAGTCATGAATTACAAGATTTTCTCTTTCACCTCAAAACAGTTAAAAAATAAAACCACAATGAAAAGAGTTTTATTTTCTGTCTCCAACTCAATGCAACAAAGGACTGAGAAGCACTCTGCCAAGTGTCAAAAGAGTGATACACATTATTTTTGTGTAAACTGTATGAATATTAAGTTACAAAAACATGTACATCTTTTACATTTGTTTAATATTTTCTAAACACATCCACTGTAGTACAGTATTACAAATATATAAACATTGGAAATAACATAACAATTTATATCAATATTAAATCACAGAAAAACAAACCACACAATTTAAAAAAAGGATGGGTCTGCTAATTTGGAGGATACAAATGTGACAGTTTTTGTCAATTTCTTTTTGGTGAGGTTTTCAATAGTGGATAAAAATATTTTCCAATCTGATTTTTAAACGTACAGATCCCTGAAGTCTCAAAAAGTAAAAAAAAATATATATCTTTTGCGCACAATATAATTATCTTGATCGCAAAAGATGAAAATATGTTTTAGTTTATTTTTTCACTGTTAGGGGAATTCAGTGTCTCCGTAAAAACCGATAAAGGAGGGTAACATTGTGATTCGCCCTCCATACCAGTAGGTGGCGGAGGGAGCACAAGTCGTTCTTTGCCGATCGCCAATAAACCTCAAAGAAGAAGAAGAAGAAGAAGCTTTTGTATTTCTGCTTAGCAAAAATGGCTCAAGGATCAAAAAAGTTTAAAGCTCAGCGGCCAGGAGCCTCCAAGAAATCCCAACAACACAAACAGAAAGGACCGAAGAAAGGAGGTACGTGTTTAAGAACTAAGCCCGTTGTCCGACGAGTTTCTAGAAACCATTTTTAATCCATAAATATCTTCACCATGAGAGAGCCTCATGGAAACAGCTGACCACGCTGTGGCTCATGTTTGATTACTGAAACAGATAATGATCTGTAACATGGACCACCATCTGTTCAATGTTGTTTTCCAAGACAAACAGTAACATTTTTCTTTTCTTTGTAAAGGGAGGGTCATTGCGCCTAAGAAGACTCAAGTTGTTGAGCAACAGAAGCTGAAGAAGGTGAGGAAACGTTTCATGACAACAGCAGGGTTTGAATAGTCTCGGCTCTTAAATGTTGATATATAAATACTGACTTTAACTGATTACTTATCTGAAATGTGACCTTCTCTTCTCCTTCTTAAAGGGTTTAGAGGTCGCCATCAGGAACAAGATTGAGCAGGAGGTGACCCACAAGGCAAGCTTATCCCTCCACAAGTCACTGAGTGTGGTCAAAGGGGCTGAACGTAAAGACAGGCCGGGAGAAGCCCGTCCAGGAACCAGCTCCAAATAACACCTGATGCACACCTGCACACCTTCAGGCCTGAGGCTGGATGTGCTGAATTTAAGGGCTTACTCAGTGAGCCTCACTGACCTCATGACTCAGTTTTAAGAGTCATGCCAGCTCCCCAGTTGTTTTTATTCCTGATGTTTTAGCTGACGTCAGCATGTTGATATAGCTAAAACCTTTCTTGTATATGTACCAATTTCAGTTTTTCAATGAAAAGGGATCTGTATATGTTAAATGAACAGACATTCTGGATGTGATTTGTAGATGGGCCTTTGTAATAACATAAACCTCTATTGACCCTCGTTGAGTGTCTGATGTTTTTTTGTTTGTTGTTAAATTCAAATTGAAAACAAATACATGAACAACTACCTTTGGGGTTTGTGTCATTTCTTCTTGTTTTTATGTGATGACAAAATGTTTTATTCCACTTTTTCAAAAGCTGTGATGTGTAGTATTCTAGGGCTGTATCGGTGTATTCGTTTAACATCAATATCAGGCCTGTCGACGGACATCAGCCCATCTTCAAGTAATGTGGCACGCACTGACGCCAGGAGCCGATGTGACGACTTGTGCCGAAAACGTGAAAGTAACTTTCAGCAGTGTGTCTCTGGGACAGTTCAAGAGGAGGGACTACTAACAACACAACAACATTTGAAGAGTAGACACAGAAAACGACAACCTTGGAATGGCTGAATTCTTAATTTAAACATTGTTTTTGGTATCAAACCTGATTATCACAATCAGTGCATTTCTAATATAATCACTTTATAAAAGATGTTTCAATGTTCACATTTATAAAGAGAAACACACATGAATAAAGAGAACCCTAGTGAGGGCAGGGCTAAAAATAATAAGATGAAAATAATTCTCATATCCTGTAAAAAGTACATTATTGTCAAAATAGTTACAAGAAGATAGCATAGCTTCTGTAACAAAGTCAATCCATTTCTCCCACTTTAATTCCCTTTTTCATGTTTGTGTTTTCATTTTTTGGAATTGAGCATGTACATAACAAGAGCATTGGGGCTAGAAAGCCTAATGTTGGACACCATGCTGTTGCCCTATTGCACCCTGTTTCCAGGGGAAGTCTCTTCCTCAGACAAGGAGACAGTGTTTAACTGAGTAATTCCTCAGGACAGCCTGATCATTCATAAGACCATCATTTAAGCAACGGACTGTGACAGCGAGCTCTCAAGCACTGACTTATGTGGTGTGTTATTTAAAAAAAAAGACCACAAAGGGGATTTTATTATATGAGGTATTTATTTAATACCTGTGTAAAATGTAGCTTATTCAATCCAGACATTCAGTGAAGCTTTATAATGATGTTTCTATGAGACTTCTTCATGTGTCTAGCTAACTACTACAAGCTGCCTGAACAAAAACAACATGCATAATGCTCACAGTGCACAAGCACAGACAATACAATCACACTGAAAAAACCACTGGTTAAAACAAGTCATGAAATACAATCAGCATGTCTAGCAGTACAGATACATAAGCACTTATGTCTTAAGCAGGTCTAGTGTAATAATCAGCATGCTTTCAGATAGCTCGAATGGTGTCCATGCACTGAATGGAGCGCAGGAACCTGGGGAAGGAGTCTTTGGCCATCAAATTGTAGATTCTCTGCTGTGCTGTGTTGAATGTGTCGGCACCCAGAGAGTCCATCACACCCAGCAGAGCCTCCCGGGTCTCAGCATCCAAGTTCACCTGAGAAGAAAAACATTGTCTGTAGAAGCTTGTTACCTCATTATCCTGACTGTGTCACCAAATCCCATTCTTTATTTCTACAAGTTATGCTTAGGGTTCTTCCTGTCTCAGCGCTCTGTGTTACATCACACTCTTTTCTCCACTGACCTCCTGCGGGGCGTTAGGGTTGATGAACTGGCTGTAGATGCTGCTGCCCTTGGTCTTCTTCAGGTGTAAGGGAGAAACCCTGTAGTCCTCACAGGCCAACCAAAACTCCAGGTTCTCTCACTGAACTCTGAGCGAAGGAACCCACGAAACACCTGCAGACCACCTGGGAGAAATATGAAAGGAGGAAGGAAGAGAGAAGAACAAATCAGAGAGAGGAAGGAGGATGAGACACAATCAGTGTCACTGTGGAGAAGAAGAAAAAGAAAGCTGCAAGCAAATAAAATCACTTATGGATCCAGTATCACTTCTTCCTCAAGGTGCTGTTATGGAAAATGGCTTAAAAACGGACAGCCGAAAGCTTAAAAATGTTAAAAATATATTTAAAAAGTATCATTTAGTGTCTCGTTTTTTATTTAGGTGTAAAACTAGCAGAGTGTATCTTCAAAGTCAAAGTCAACTTTATTGTTAATTCCAAAATATGCCAGACAAACAGTAGAATCGAAATTGCGTTTGTCTCCGTCCCGTGGTGCAATACAACCAAAATAAGGTAAAATAGATAAAATAAAATGAGGTAAATATAAGATAAATAATATTTACAGTAAGAAATTCTTTAAGCTATGCAAGGACATTCATTTATATGCACAGTTTGATACTTTTTTTCACATTATTATTTGAGCTTTTCGGCCTTCATTTGATTGGACAGACTTAGAGAGATAGGGAGTGTGGGGAGCGAGAGTGGAGGATGGCATGCAGCAAACAAGATCAGGATCGGGAGTCAAACATGCAACCAGATATGAAGCCTTCACGCAACAGTGGCTTAAACGTTGTGAAAGAGTGTTACGCAGGGGTGTGTCCACACTTTTTGGTATGGGGGGGGGGGGCACTGACTTATACGCAGGTGGCATGAGGTTTTCATAGGACATACAACTGAAAGGCATTTCCTGTGTATGATGTCTTTAAAAAGGTAACAGTAAAAACAGGCTGATACCAACTCCACCACAAAGATCAACTGGAAAGACACAATTCATGAAATGTATGATATGGAGAAAATAACACATAGGATAAGGAATTTAGGCGCTCTTTGAGTCACGATGAAGATAATAACTAACACTGATTTAATATTGGGGGGGATAAAATAAAAAAAATACGTTTGAACAAAGAAGTAGATGTGCGTGTACTTGAGGACTGGACTCTTGCTAGAAACAGGTGAAGAACACAAAGACAAAAAATAAACACTATAAGAGTAGAACAAACAAAACCCAGTTTGTCTTTAATCTCTTTTTTTATTCTATTATTCATTTTTGTGTTCGTCTGTTTTGTTGCTTTTATTCACTTTTTCTCATCTCTCTTTCTCCTCTCTTTTCTGTTCTGTCTTAGGATGAGCTACCAGAAGTTTACATCCATGTCTGTGTAGAAAAATGTACTCATGCTTCCATATCCTTTTGATACTCATCAAATGCAAATGTACTTACGCTCGTTCTGACCTTAATGTTTACAGTCTATGGTATGTCAAAATGTAAAGTCATTAAAAAAGCTGCAAGCAAACTTCTGCACATCAAAAATACATGTATTAACAACATGTTAGTGTTGGTCACTTCCTGGTTAAAGATTAGTTCACTGATGGCATTGGTTAGAATTGGTTTGTAATATAAAATAACGTCATCAAAGTTATCAGCATCTATTTAAGTCTGTTTCTTAAACATCTACTAACAGCTTTAACTTATTAATCTGATTAATTTTGATCAGAGTTTTTTAATAGTTAGTAGTTCTTTTAAGATATAAGTAAAACGCTACCCACAGTGCATGCTCAACACTGCACTGTTTTTTAGCCATACTCCGTAACAAATGTTGAAAACCAGAAAACACAGCCAAAAGCCTGCAACATCAGCAGAACTTCAACAATCGTTCTTTACATTGTCCCAGGATGCACCTGCAGCATGCACAGCACTAAAAGCCCTAAACACAAGGAGCTAAATTAGATTATTTTCTTTGTAATAAACCTGTACTTTCCCTGCTCTGAAATGACCACAGTTTCTCTGACAACTTCTTGCAGGTGTTGTAGTCAGACTGAAAATGCATTAAAAACTCTTACTTCTGTTGTTGAGCAGAGTCTCCAGGTCCTGGGGAGCTTTTCCACCGTGAACCCTGAAAATAAAAAGAGGAAAAGTGAAACATGTACCTTCATTTTGATAACTGGATGATGAGTGGATTAACTACGTATTTATAATTTTTAAAAAGGCTTTCGGCAGGTTTACTTGTGCTTGTGATGTGGCTCAGCCAGATGGCTTAACTTCACCCGCATCTCCTTTGCCCTGATGAAGTCAGAACAACAAGTATGATGTCAAACAAAATGTGCAAACACTAAATCATTCTTTCACACAGAAAGTACATTGTCCCAGTTTGATACTTACTTCTCCAGGCATGAGGAGAGCCCTTTACACATCGATGCCTTTACTTTGAGAAGACCTGCACAGAGAAAATAAGCCAATTGAACTATAATGGATGTCAGCGTTTCAGTAAGCCAGTCTGACCCCCAAACTACAGCGTGCTGCTCTTATACCTGTTTGCTTTCTGATGTGTCTATCTGTCCCTTTCTGACCAGCAGGTGTGAAGACCGCGGCTGACAAGAGGTGAGAACATCTGAATGAGAGAGGGGGTGTACGTGCCAAAAGCCATACAAGGCTTGTCAACAGGTAACACAAAGGCAGACTTTACATATAATAGACAAGTTAAAGCAAGAGGGCCTCTAATGTGTTTGTGTGTGTATGGTCAGGGATCATTAAGAGTCCATAAAGGAAGTCATGAACACAACCTTGGCCGGTTTTTCCTGAATGGATATCACAAGTGATGATGGAGGAGCAGGTGCAGCTGGGGAGAGAATAAACTGCAGGGCAGAGAAGTGAGAAGAAGAAGACTTGGCAAGATCAGATAAAACATGACAACATTTTTAAGATTACCTTTTGATTTTTTTGTGTGTGCTATTTTGCCTTGCTCTTTATTTTGCCGATGTATTGTTCATTTATACTTTGTTTTTAAACCTCTCGTGTGGCTCTCTGCAGTCAAATCATCTCAAAATATGATATGTATATCACATAAAGACGCCCTGAAAGACATGCTGTTCAAGACTCTGTGATTGTTGTGTGTGTTTCTGGTTGACAGTACTAAGTCAGGGATGCAGCTTCAGACCACAAAAAGCCTCAATTCACAATTTCTCTGCAGACTGGTAAAAAAAAAAAAATGTCAAAAAAGAGCATGACTCTCGCAGTACAATGTGTTATTGTATGTTATTATAAGGGAGACACTGCTGTAGATTTACAGCGCATCTTAAGGGAAAGGATAACACACGGTGAATGTTAATTAAAGGTGCACTATGTAGATTTGGTGGTGAAATTTAAAGTTGGAGAAGTGAAACAATTCTATGCTTTATTTTCTGAACTAAATA